CGAGTGTGTGTGTCACTCATCTACCCTGTCGCTCCGTGTGTTTGTGTGTCACTCATCTACCCTGTCGCTCCGTGTGTGTGTGTGTATCACTCATCTACCCTGTCGCTACGTGTGTGTGTCACTCATCTACCCTGTCGCTACGTGTGTGTGTGTCACTCATCTACCCTGTCGCTCCGTGTGCGTGTGTCACTCATCTACCCTGTCGCTCCGTGTGTGTGTCACTCATCTACCCTGCCGCTACGTGTGTGTGTCACTCATCTACCCTGTCGCTACGTGTGTGTCACTCATCTACCCTGTCGCTACGTGTGTGTGTCACTCATCTACCCTGTCGCTACGTGTGTGTGTCACTCATCTACCCTGTCGCTACGTGTGTGTCACTCATCTACCCTGTCGCTACGTGTGTGTGTCACTCATCTACCCTGTCGCTCCGTGTGCGTGTGTCACTCATCTACCCTGTCGCTCCGTGTGTGTGTGTCACTCATCTACCCTGTCGCTACGTGTGTGTGTGTCACTCATCTACCCTGTCGCTCCGTGTGCGTGTGTCACTCATCTACCCTGTCGCTACGTGTGTGTGTATCACTCATCTACCCTGTCGCTCCGTGTGCATGTGTCACTCATCTACCCTGTCGCTCCGTGTGTGTGTGTCACTCATCTACCCTGTCGCTACGTGTGTGTGTGTCACTCATCTACCCTGCCGCTCCGTGTGTGTGTCACTCATCTACCCTGTCGCTCCATGTGTGTGTGTCACTCATCTACGCTGTCGCTCTGTGTGTGTGTGTCACTCATCTACCCTGTCGCTCCGTGTGTGTGTGTATCACTCATCTACCCTGTCGCTACGTGTGTGTCACTCATCTACCCTGTCACTCCGAGTGTGTGTGTCACTCATCTACCCTGTCGCTCCTTGTGTTTGTGTGTCACTCATCTACCCTGTCGCTCCGTGTGTGTGTGTATCACTCATCTACCCTGTCGCTACGTGTGTGTCACTCATCTACCCTGTCGCTCCGTGTGCGTGTGTCACTCATCTACCCTGTCGCTCCGTGTGTGTGTGTGTATCACTCATCTTCCCTGTCGCTACGTGTGTGTGTCACTCATCTACCCTGTCGCTACGTGTGTGTCACTCATCTACCCTGTCGCTCCGTGTGCGTGTGTCACTCATCTACCCTGTCGCTCCGTGTGTGTGTGTCACTCATCTACCCTGTCGCTCCGTGTGCGTGTGTCACTCATCTACCCTGTCGCTCCGTGTGTGTGTGTGTGCATCACTCATCTACCCTGTCGCTACGTGTGTGTGTGTCACTCATCTACCCTGTCGCTACGTGTGTGTGTGTGTCACTCATCTACCCTGTCGCTACGTGTGTGTGTCACTCATCTACCCTGTCGCTACGTGTGTGTGTGTCACTCATCTACCCTGTCGCTCCATGTGTGTGTGTCACTCATCTACCCTGTTGCTATGTGTGTGTGTGTCACTCATCTACCCTGTCGCTACGTGTGTGTCACTCATCTACCCTGTCGCTCCGTGTGCGTGTGTCACTCATCTACCCTGTCGCTCCGTGTGTGTGTGTCACTCATCTACCCTGTCGCTCCGTGTGCGTGTGTCACTCATCTACCCTGTCGCTCCGTGTGTGTGTGTGTGCATCACTCATCTACCCTGTCGCTACGTGTGTGTGTGTCACTCATCTACCCTGTCGCTACGTGTGTGTGTGTGTCACTCATCTACCCTGTCGCTACGTGTGTGTGTCACTCATCTACCCTGTCGCTACGTGTGTGTGTGTCACTCATCTACCCTGTCGCTCCATGTGTGTGTGTCACTCATCTACCCTGTTGCTATGTGTGTGTGTGTCACTCATCTACACTGTCGTTCCGTGTGTGTGTGTCACTCATCTACCCTGTCGCTCCGTGTGTGTGTCACTCATTTACCCTGTCGCTCTGTGTGTGTGTGTCACTCATCTACCCTGCCGCTCCGTGTGTGTCACTCATCTACCCTGTCGCTCCATGTGTGTGTGTCACTCATCTACGCTGTCGCTCTGTGTGTGTGTGTGTCACTCATCTACCCTGTCGCTCCGTGTGTGTGTGTGTATCACTCATCTACCCTGTCGCTACGTGTGTGTGTGTCACTCATCTACCCTGTCACTCCGAGTGTGTGTGTCACTCATCTACCCTGTCGCTCCGTGTGTTTGTGTGTCACTCATCTACCCTGTCGCTCCGTGTGTGTGTGTATCACTCATCTACCCTGTCGCTACGTGTGTGTGTCACTCATCTACCCTGTCGCTACGTGTGTGTGTGTCACTCATCTACCCTGTTGCTCCGTGTGCGTGTGTCACTCATCTACCCTGTCGCTCCGTGTGTGTGTCACTCATCTACCCTGCCGCTACGTGTGTGTGTCACTCATCTACCCTGTCGCTACGTGTGTGTCACTCATCTACCCTGTCGCTACGTGTGTGTGTCACTCATCTACCCTGTCGCTACGTGTGTGTGTCACTCATCTACCCTGTCGCTACGTGTGTGTCACTCATCTACCCTGTCGCTACGTGTGTGTGTCACTCATCTACCCTGTCGCTCCGTGTGCGTGTGTCACTCATCTACCCTGTCGCTCCGTGTGTGTGTGTCACTCATCTACCCTGTCGCTACGTGTGTGTGTGTCACTCATCTACCCTGTCGCTCCGTGTGCGTGTGTCACTCATCTACCCTGTCGCTACGTGTGTGTGTATCACTCATCTACCCTGTCGCTCCGTGTGCATGTGTCACTCATCTACCCTGTCGCTCCGTGTGTGTGTGTCACTCATCTACCCTGTCGCTACGTGTGTGTGTGTCACTCATCTACCCTGCCGCTCCGTGTGTGTGTCACTCATCTACCCTGTCGCTCCATGTGTGTGTGTGTCACTCATCTACGCTGTCGCTCCGTGTGTGTGTGTATCACTCATCTACCCTGTCGCTACGTGTGTGTGTGTCACTCATCTACCCTGTCACTCCGAGTGTGTGTGTCACTCATCTACCCTGTCGCTCCGTGTGTTTGTGTGTCACTCATCTACCCTGTCGCTCCGTGTGTGTGTGTATCACTCATCTACCCTGTCGCTACGTGTGTGTCACTCATCTACCCTGTCGCTCCGTGTGCGTGTGTCACTCATCTACCCTGTCGCTCCGTGTGTGTGTGTGTATCACTCATCTTCCCTGTCGCTACGTGTGTGTGTCACTCATCTACCCTGTCGCTACGTGTGTGTGTCACTCATCTACCCTGTCGCTCCGTGTGCGTGTGTCACTCATCTACCCTGTCGCTCCGTGTGTGTGTGTCACTCATCTACCCTGTCGCTACGTGTGTGTGTGTCACTCATCTACCCTGTCGCTCCGTGTGCGTGTGTCACTCCTCTACCCTGTCGCTACGTGTGTGTGTATCACTCATCTACCCTGTCGCTACGTGTGTGTGTCACTCATCTACCCTGTCGCTACGTGTGTGTGTGTCACTCATCTACCCTGTCCCTCCATGTGTGTGTGTCACTCATCTACCCTGTTGCTATGTGTGTGTGTCACTCATCTACCCTGTCGCTCCGTGTGTGTGTGTCACTCATCTACCCTGTCGCTCCGTGTGTCACTCATCTACCCTGTCGCTCCGTGTGTGTGTGTCACTCATCTACCCTGTCGCTCCGTGTGTGTGTGTGACTCATCTACCCTGTCGATCCGTGTGTGTGTGTGTGACTTATCTATCCTGTCGCTCCGTGTGTGTGTGTCACTCATCTACCCTGTCGCTCCGTGTGTGTCACTCATCTACACTGTCGCACCGTGTGTGTGTGGATCACTCATCTACCCTGTCGCTCCGTGTGCGTGTGTCACTCATCTACCCTGTCGCTCCGTGTGTGTGTGTCACTCATCTACCCTGTCGCTCCGTGTGTGTGTGTCACTCATCTACCCTGTCGCTATGTGTGTGTGTCACTCATCTACCCTGTCGCTACGTGTGTGTGTGTCACTCATCTACCCTGTCGCTCCGTGTGTGTGTGTCACTCATCTACCCTGTCGCTACGTGTGTGTCACTCATCTACCCTGTCGCTCCGTGTGTGTGTGTCACTCATCTACCCTGTCGCTACGTGTGTGTGTCACTCATCTACCCTGTCGCTACGTGTGTGTGTGTCACTCATCTACCCTGTCGCTCCGTGTGTGTGTGTGTGGATCACTCATCTACCCTGTCGCTCTGTGTGTGTCACTCATGTACCCTGTCGCTCCGTGTGCGTGTCACTCATCTACCCTGTCGCTCCGTGTGTGTGTGTCACTCATCTACCCTGTCGCTCCGTGTGTGTGTCAATCAACGACCCAGGATCTCAGTGTGTGGGTATGCACTCACCTACGCTGCACCTCAGTGGGTGAGTGCACCCACCGACCCTGTCGCTGTGTGTGTGTGTACTCTTGCGCCAACAGTCTGTTCAGGCTTTTGAGGGGATATTTGTCTTTGTTCACCTACCCTGTAACTCAGTGTGTGTATATGCACTCGTCTAGGCAGCAGATCAGTGTGTGAGTGCACTCACCTACCCTGTGGTTAAGTGTGTGTGCCCTCATTTTCCTACTCTGTGAAGAGCAAAATGTACGAGTTATTATTGACTTATCTGATATATATTTATTTCGCACCTAAATCCAAAGCACTTTACAACAAGGATAAAATTGTACAGAAGTTGATAGTGGTTAAAAAAAGAGTGGGGTTATTAAAAGTAGTGTAGTTATGGTGACAGGACGGGTGGGAGTGGTTAAGGAGGGGATGGGTAGTGATAGGGGTTGGGGTAGTGGTGGGGGTTGGGGTAGGGATTGTGGGTTGGGGTAGGGTTGGGGTAGTGGTGGGGTTTTGGAGTAAGGATGGGGTAGTGATAGGGGTTGGGGTAGTGGTGGGGGTTGGGGTAGGGATTGGGGTAGTGATAGGGGTTGGGGTAGGCCTTGTCGTATCTGGGGCGTGGGAGCAGAGAGTAGCAGTGGGCATTAGAACACGTGTGCACACGTATCGTCACATGTTTGCTATGCATGTGTCAATGGGCACCCTGGACACCTTGAACATCCTTGCTGCACCCCAATGCTCCATCTCAAGGGATTACACAGGTGCAATGTTTCTAAAACAACAACAAAATAGATCCGTTGATCGTAAACAGGGAATCCATTTCACCAGGGGCGGTTTCTTCATTAGGGCGATTGGGCGACGCACCACCAATGTCATTCAACCACAGAGTCACGCTAGCCGTCACTGCAGCCTCTGGATATAGTCCAATCAGCGTCATGTCACGTTCTGTGGAGTACCGCCTCTTTTTGGGCGATTTCACTCCGGCTGAGAATCGCCCCGAGTGGCCCCATAGACTTACATTCAAAGATGTTTTTTTCGACCGGGGGGCGCTGCAATGCATTCTCTATGGCTTCCGGCAGGGCTCGCCCTAACGTGCTTACGTCATCATACGTGCGTACGTCATCATACGTAAGCACGTTTCATCCAACAATATAATTTGTGGCCACCTAGTGGAATCTTTAATAAAACAAACTTGAGTGGTTTGTTTTAATAGTGAGTATAGAAACAAACAAGATGTATTGTAAGAGTCACTTTATTTTTCATTAATATTAAAGAAGTGAAGTTGCCTTTACATGCTTAAGCTGTTAATTTATCCATTGCATGGGTGGACCTTATCCTTATCAATCATCCAGACATTTGCCCCCCCTGAGAGATTTTGCAGGAGCCGCCACTGCATTTCACGATGAATCGACGCGTCACTGGACCCCCGCTGCCTGGGGTGGCCTGCAGGGGCCTTTGTGTAGGCCTGTTCAGAGCCCTGCGAGAGGCCCATGCAATGGCTTTTCCAGAGGCCTGTGGGAGGTCCATGCCCTTGAGAGGCCTTTGTGTAGGCCTGTGCAGAGCCCTGCGAGACACCCTGGTGGGGCTTTGCAAGGCCCGTGCAGCCAGCCAACACGTTACCGTGCTCACCGCCGTAATTGTCCCATGTCCCACAGACCTGGGCGAGCGCAAGGTGCGGCTCACGGAGTCGGGAGGCCCCGGGCGCAGCGAGTGCGCGGAGCAGCTGCTGGTGGAGGACCTGTACCGACGCGTGCAGGACAAGAGTGACAAGTCGGGCCGCTACGGCACGCCCAGCGTCATGGAGATCCAGCGGGTGCTGTCCGGGGGCCGCATGGAGACGCCCAAGAACGCGGCCGACCTCGTGTGGGATGGCATCTACATCGGGGATGTGTAAGTGAGCGAGTGAGTGTGGGTGAGCGAGTGTGTGGGTGAATGTGAGTGAGCGAGCGAGAGTGTGGGTGAGCGAGAGAGTGTGTGGGTGAGCGGGTGAGCGAGCGAGTGTGTGGGTGAGCGGGTGAGCGAGCGAGTGTGTGGGTGAGCTGGTGAGCGAACGAGTGCGTGGGTGAGTGTGGGTGAGCGAGAGAGAGTGTGGGTGAGTGAGCGAGTGTAAATGAGTGTGGGTGAGGCAGCGAGTGTGTGGGTGAAAAAGGATGTTTGGGTGGGTGAGCGAGAAAGCAATGGTGAGCAAATGTGTGGGTGAGTGTGGGTGAGCTAGCGAGTGTGTGGGTGAGTGTGAGCATACGTGTGCATAGGGGCCCCCCGTGTGTGTGGTGTGGGTGAGTGAGTGAGTGTGCGTCTGTGGGGAGCGGTAGTGGAGCGGTAAGCGTGCTGCGCTACGAACCTGGCAACCGAGTTCGATTCCCGCTCACGGCCAACACCAGTGACGATTATCTGAACCGGCCCTGGGCCTCCCTTAGGTCGACTCAGCCACTGGGGGAGACAAAGGCGGCCGGGCGTGGTGTTGACTACTCACCCCCTTGTGTGCCGTGCCAGCCTTTATAGGTGCTCGCTAACAGCACTTGCCCCTACAGTCTGTTAAGGCTATATGGGGGGTCTTTGTCTTTGCGAGTGTGACCTGTTGTCATGCGTGCCATCTCGTGAGTCACGATGGCGAGAGGAGAGAAAGAGTGACAGAGCGCATGTGGGGTGAACATCCCGGCCCAAAGTGATCATGCCGTGGTGTGTGTTATAGTGGTTTGCGTCAAACTAGGACCGATATCTAACACATTCACCCAGCGTCCTTGCCTTTAAACTACCTGACAGTTCACCAGCAATGTTCAAGCAAAGCCCGAACCAACGGTGCTGGAATGCGCTCCCAGAAGGAAAGCCCTGTGGCTGATGGGATGTGTAAAATGAGGTGTCTCGCGTCAGCTCAATTCGTTATTTTCCAAATCATCTGGTGACGCTACCAGTGGTGCACAAACAACAACACACTCCCTGTCAATAACAACACCGCGTTCGTGCGTGTGGGCTTACAAGCAAGAACAAAATACATGCAATGGGCGACTTTCAGACAACAGGCCTTCTTCAAAGCGCACATGTATATGGACGTGCATCATAACATACACCGGTCAACATAAAACAGACTAAAATCTAAATTTGAATCAGCAAATCTGTTTGATTAGTCTTTAATTCACCCTGTCACCAATTTTAACACGATGCGAAGGTTTATTCAGTCGACCTAGACTTGCTAAAAAAGATCAACATTGACCTTTCATTTGGGTCCGTTGAATCGATGGACCGTCGGACCAAGCCTCGGGCACGAGGAGTCAAATCTGCCTTTGGAACACGGAGTAGCTATACGGCAACAGACTGCGAAGCTTCGTGTTCAGTCGCTCGTTATAACATTCTATCTTCCGACTGCTTTGACATCACAATAACTGATTTTGACGCACCACCCTGCAAGATTTTCTCACCGGAGTTGCGAATCGTGGGAAAATTAATAATGAATGCGTTTTGTTTTTTACTTTACTGCGCACCACCTTCATTACGTTCATATAGAGAGGCCAGGGAGAGAGAGAGCAGTGGCTTGAAACTGCGTTTGTCGATGCCTCCAGAGCCATGACGCGCCTGTCCAGGCTCTACCGGGGGGGGTGTGGGTGGGGGGATCTTCGCCTTTGTTCATCGTTCGCAGCAGCAGCAGCAGCCAGCAGAGGGCGCTATGGAATGCTGCGCCGGGGCCGCTCGCTTCAGCAAGGGTGCCACGCTGCCGATTTCACGTGCATCAATGGGTTAACGTTCGCCTCCGAATTGAATTCATCTTCTTGGTTTTGGGCGGCAGGGCGGCGCTGCAGTAGTGCGGACGCTCGCGTCTCACGGCAAGAAAGGGGGGCGGGGGGGTCGGGCGGGGCGGGCGAGGGGGGCGGGGAGGGGACACTGGGTTCGAGTCTTGACCCCCCCGGGGCGCCTTTCTGCCTGTGTGGTATTTGCGTGTTCTCATCGCCCTGTTCTCGTGGGTTTCCTCTGAGTTCTCTGGTTTCTCTCGATTTAAATAAAATAGTGAAAGTTTACACATTGGGGGGCCGTCCATAAATGACGTCACGCACCTAGGGGGGGGGGGCAGACATTTGTGACGATGTGTGACGAGGGGGGGGGGTTCGAGAAATGTGACGTCACATCAAAATTCGCAACGTTAAATAAATATAGGCAACACGTTCTACTTAATTAAATAGACTTTTTTAATAAATGTTTTTTCCTACAACATCAGAGTGCAGCGCCATATTAAATACGCACTACAATGACAATAGTTTAAAGCGATTTGAAGCATGTTTAAATTTTTTTTTGGGGGGGGGGGCAGTGGTTTATGACGTCATATTTGAGGGGGGTCTGACTTTTTGTGACGCCGTGTGACGATGGGGGGGAGGGGGGGTCAAAAATAGTCCAAAATCGCGTGACGTCATTTATGAACGGCCTCTTGGTGCAGGGATGGGGCTGCTCGGTGTGTGTGACGTGGTGTGGAGTGGTGGCGCAGTAATTAGCACGCTGCGCTACGGACCCAGTGGCCCGAGTTCGATTCCCGCTGACGGCCAACACCAATGACGATGATCTGAACCAGTCCCGGGCCTTCCCTAGGTCGACTCCGCCTCAAATGGGTACCTGGTGCGATGTGTAAACATCATCACCAGCAGGGCGTGGGGCTTGCCCCCCACCCCCTCGTGTGCCGTGCCGGCCTTCATATGTGCTGCTCGCTAACAGCACTTGCCTCAACAGTCTGTTAAGGCTAGACGGGGGATCTTTGTCTCGTATTGGAACACATACGTGTGTGAGGGTGAGCGGTGGCGCAGTGGTTAGCGTTGCTTTGTGCTCTTGACCAATCAAAATGGCAGCGATGTTTTCTAACCAGTTCTGGACCTCCCCTAGGTCGAAAAAATTGTGGCGTGTGTGTGTGTAAAGTATTAAACACTGGGGGAGACAAAGGCGGCCGGGCGTGGCGGTGCTGGCCACCCACCCCCCTCGTAGGGGCCGCTCGCTTCACAGCAGCCTAGCAAACTTTCCCCAAGTCCGCTCGGCTGTACAGGGGATCTCTATCTTGTGTGTTAAAACACACACACACGCACGTGTGTGTGTGTTAAAACACACACACACGCACGTGTGTGCGGGTGAGCAGTGGCACAGTGGTTAATGCTGCGCTGTGCCCCGTGACCAATAAAAGTGGCAGTGGTTCTGGACCTCCCCGAGGTGGACTCAGCCTTAAATAACCAAAAATGGGGGGTGGGGACTTTTTTCCGTTTTGTGTGGCGCCGTCCCCAGGAGCGTGGCCATGAACCGCGCGCGGCTCAAGCGCATGGCGGTGACGCACGTGGTGAACGCGGCGCACGGCACCGGCGTGTTCACGGGCCACGAGTTCTACCGCGGCATGGAGCTCGCCTACCTGGCCGTGCCCGCCGACGACTTCCCCGATTTCGACATCAGCGGCCACTTCTACCCGGCGGCCGCCTTCATCGATGAGGCCCTGCTCACCCACAAGGGTACCGCACACGCACACGCTTGCTCGCTCCACCATCGCTCCACCATCGCTCCACCCGCGCTCCACCCTCGCTCCACCCGTGCTCCACCCTCTCTCCAACCTCGCTCCACCCTCGCTCCACCCACGGTCCACCCTCGCTCCACCCTCGCTCCACCCTCGCTCCATCCACGCTCCACCCTCGCTCCACCCTCGCTCCACCCACGCTCCACCCTCTCTCCACCATCGCTCCACCCTCGTTCCACCCACGCTCCACCCTCGCCTCACCCTCGCACCACCCTCCGGTGTGGGGGATGGTGGTGCAGCGGTTAGCACGCTGCGCTATGAACCCAGCAACAACCCGATGGTCAATTCCCGCTCACAGCAACCAACACCAGTGACGATTAATTATTATCTGAACCGGTCCTGGGCCTCGACTCAACATCAAATCAGTACCTGGTCCAGTGTGTAGTAAACATCGCCATTGGGGAGACAAAGGCGGCCGGGAGTGGTGCTGGTCAACCACCCCTTTATGTGCCGTGCCGCCCTTCATAGGTGCTCACTAACAGCACTTGCCCGAACAGTTTGTAGGGTCTTTTTTGTCTTTTTTATGCAATTGGCGTAATTAAACTCTCACCTTTGAACAGTGTTATTTATTTCGTGCAAATAATTATGCCGTTTACCCAGGAGGGTCCTGCCAAGTTGTTCTCAGTAGGGGCGGGCGATGTTGCTGCTGGTGCGTGATCCCACATTGAGTAATTTACAGGTAACTTGCCAGCATTTGGATGTTTGGGCGAATTTCGTGTCCACTGTGCGTGGTTTATTTTAGCTAAAACCGCAGATCCCAGAGGAGAACAGTCAAGGCCTCTAGAGCCACGGGGGGATAGACCTGCCTCACCTGGTTTGCCTGCCCAGGTCCTTGCAACATCTCCATCCTCATCAGCAGCAGCGGCTATGATCTATCCACTCCTGGATGATGTCCAACGAGTTGAACGTACAAACTCTACGCAGAAAGAAGGCTCCCCGAGTCAAGGCTCGAACCCAGGCCCACTTTTGCTGCGAGGGGCGAGCCGTCACCACCGCATCACCGGCACCGCCACACAATGAGTTACTTGAATGGGTCGCATAATAATGATAATAAATACATTAATGACGCCTTTATTTAAACATTGATTTTGGCAGCACATTAATCACGGTGCTGAGCGGAGGTTCGTGGCGGGGGTGGGGGGGCGGGGGGTTGTGGGGGAGGAAGGCGGTGGTCGGCAGACGGCTCGCAGGGAAAAAACGCATGGACAGATGGCGGAGCGGTGGTGCCACAGCCAGGGCGCTACTCTCTCTCTGAACCCCGGCCCCCGGCCAGCATCGGAGTGATATCTGAATCCTGCCAGGTGGTTGTTGCTCAGCAGTAGAACGAGCGGGCTCACGATCGGGAGGAGTTCGCGTCCTGGTTGAGGGGGATTAACTCGGCACCATCTGCCCTCAGTTGTAATTGATGTGATTGTAGTGCCGTTTCTTGAGTGGAGTGGATTTTACTGTGTATTGTTGCAAGAGTTTGGTGGGAAAAAAAGAGACGATGATGATGAAGGGAGGAGGGAATTCCAGGGTGGAACAGTGCGAGGAAAGAGGCGGAAAGAGAAGTGACCTGCAGTCCGGTGAGCGAGCAAGTGGGTGAGTGGATGAGTGGGTGAGGGAGTGTGTGAGTGAACGGGTGAGTGTGTGAGTGAGTGGAGTGCTAGTGTAATGATTAGCGCATTGTGCTATGAATCTGGCGACCAGAGTTCGATTCCTGCTCACGGCCAATTCTGAACAGATTTTGGACTACCCCCAGGTCGACTCAGCCTCAAATTAGTACCTGTTGTGGTGTGTAAACATCGCTACTAGGGAGACAAAGGCAGCCGGCCATAGTGCTGGCCACCCACCCCCTCGTGTGCCATTCCGGCCTTCATAGGTGCTCCCAAACAGCACTTTCCCCAGCAGTCTGTTAAGGCTACACGGGGGGGATCTTTTGTCTTGGTTGTGAGTGAGCTTGTCGTCGTGACCCTGCAGTACGGTGGTTGAACACAGACCAAATGGTCCAGACGAAACAGGATCTGGGTACAGACTGAGTCCACCACATGGGTGGAGGAATCTACAATTATGCAATTGGTAATGCGCAAAATATTGCACGTACATAAATGCCCATGACTGAGTTGCAGAGCCAAGCTCGGTGTCCCGCAAAAGCCTGATGAATGAGGTGGGCCCTTAAGTGTCTCTTTGATTGAACACTGCTGCTAGCTGCTGCTAGCTGCTACTGCTGCGAACATGCAGTAACAGCGGGACGATGGTGATAGTTGCGTTCCGGACGGCAGGGGCTGCCTCGGAGAAACGACGCCCCGGGAGTATCGGTTCTGGCACTTGTTGGAGAGAGGAGGTTGTGGTTAGCGCTGAAGAGGGGGAGGGTTCCACCATGAGCTGTAGTGCAGTGAAACAGGAAAGCTTCTATAAGGTCTTACTCATTCCACTGAAAAGTGCTTTCCACAAATGAACCACAATACCTCGCTGATCTCATCAAGGAACATAAACCATCACGCGAACTCCGGTCATCCTCGCAGCGGCTTATGGCTCACCATCGGTCACTGCATCCTGTGCTTTCAGATGCGCTTCTAAGATCGTCTGGAATGCTGTTCCTCTGACATTAGGAAGCCACTGGAGCTATGCACTTTTGAATCTAGATTGAAAACGAATTTCTTTAGAATGTCTTGGTGTGTTTAGTTTTCCTTCTTCCACACCTTCGATTAGCACGGTTGGCTATGTACGATGCGAACATGGGTCTCATTGGTCTTCATTCAGCAGTGGATAGATCATAGCTGCTGATGATGGTGATGATGAAGACGGTAAGAGACTTGGGGCTACCCAGGTTTTACCCTTGCCCGGGAAGGTGCAAGTAACTGGGCAGGCAAACCAGGCATGGCAGGCCTACTAGCCCCAGGGTGCTCTAGAGGCCTTTAACTGTTCTCCCTCTGTTCTGCATGAGATTCCGCCAGATTTTCACAGGGTTTCCTCTCATAGCTAAACAAAAAAACCCCATACAATGTAAATGATATTGAGCCAAAATATGCCGATGCCGAAAATTGTACCTGCAAATTACTCAATTGGAATCACACAGCAGCAGCATTGCCCCTCCCCTCCCATACTGCGAAACACTTGGCAGGACAAATTTGGCTGTCCGCCTAATGATGCTAGTTGTAATTACTGGCAAACGTCATACTCAGATTGTAAATGTTGTGGATTTGCTCTCCAACACACCGGTGTGCTGTACTAGTAACGAATTGGCATGTTCTATTTACGTGAAAACCTTACTAATTGGCCGTGCCGGGTGGTGGCGGGTTTAACGATACATTTACGCGATCTAACCCAAAAAACCTATATTATGGACGTGGCAGGACCCTCCCGAAGACGAGCCTTGAGACTGCTGAAGCTTTCCCTGGGCGAACAAGCATAATTAATGATTAATAATCACCCACATAAATAATCACTTATTGACCCACACCATGACCCCCAAATGGGAGACTACTGATTGAATTTCTGTGGTGGGGACCGGCCAGGTGGTGGGGGTGGTGGGGGTGGTGAGCCATTCACGGAGAAGCCGCAGAACTTAAACACCAGAATCGGAGGCGGACCTCAAAGACGTACTGGAATATCACTTATTGATATGGCTATTGCATTAAAGCGTTATTCATTACGCACGTGCACGCGTCATGAATAATGTAATGGTCCAGCCGCCAGTACGGTTGCCGCCACCTTTTGACCCCGGGGGGTGGGGACACGGGTATGAACGGGCAGTGGGGGGTGGGAGCCTGGCGGTGATTGCCGTGGGCTCCCTGACAATGAGATTGATCGATCGGCTAGGACACGCGGCCGGGCTGTTCCCCCTCCCCCTACGCGCGTGCGCGCGCTATGCCTCGACTCTGCCGCCCACTGATTAAAACAGGTTCTCTCTCTCTCAACGTGAATGGTGCTGCGGTGGCCGGGCACCACATTGCCCAGCTGATGTGAATGCAATGAGAATTAACAACGATCGTCAAATTCGGAACGCTGCGAAGCATTTACCACCGTGGTGCAGCGTTCACTCGTGCACTCCTCTCGTAGAGAGAGACAGCGGGAAAGAGAGGAGGGACTACAGATGAGCAGGAAGGCAGCAGCAGCAGTCATGTGGGCGATGAGCCAGTGCTACCAAGAATTGGCCAAGCTCTATGATCCTCTGTATTAAGATGTTATTGGGAGGAAACCAGAGCACCCAAGAAAACCCAAACATGCGACGAAGGGGGCAGCACTCTATCCCATACAGATCGAACGGGTGGAGTCCACGTGTTTGCTGTACTGCCTTCTCCTAGCGAGCCAGGGTATGGCTCCTCGATGCCCATGGGATGGGCGTTTCACGGCATCTGTGTGCAATGGATTACAGGCGTACGTAGTGACCTTGTTGGGCCCTGTGTGATGTATCTGGGCCATGTAAGGTCATCTGGGCCTTATAGGGCCATGTGTGGTGGCTCTGGGCCTTTTAGGGCCTTGTGTGGTTCATCTGTGCATTGTTAGGGCCCTTTGGACCTTGTAGAGCCCTGTGCAGTTCCTCTTGGCTTTGTAGGGCCCTCTCGGCCTTGTAGGGCCATATGTGGTGCCCTGTAGGGCCGTATGTGGTGCCGTTGGGCCTTGCATGGCCCGCTAGGACTTAAAGGGCCCGCTAGGACTTAAAGGGCCCTCTGTGGTGCCTATGGGCTTTGTAGGACCATGTGTGATTCCTCTGGACCCTCTGGGTAAATACAGGGTCTCGTCACACGCGGAAACGTTGAAACGGAGCGCGGTGTGCGGGGAAAGTAATATTATCGAGCGCCTATGAAGGCCAACATGGCACACGTGAGAGCTGATGGCCAGCACCACGTTTGGCTGTCTTAGCCTTGAGGCGATGTTTACTAAACACCGCACCAGGTACTCTATTCAAGACTGGAGGAGGCCCAGGACTGGTTCAGATAATTTTCACTGTTGTTGGCGGTTGGCGGGGATTGAACCCGTGTCACCGGGTTCGTAGCACAGCACACTAACCACTGTGCCACTGCTCCCCATACGTATGTAGACACATGTACATCTTTACCTGTGTCAATAATTGCATCTGAAAGTCGGAGAGAGATTACATGACATGACACGTGTGTGTCTGTGTGCGTGTGGTCTGATTTGTACCGTGGGGGGCTGCGCGTGCGATTTGTGATGCCCAACTTGATACGGATTACCTTGCCAGGTGATGTAAATGAGCTGGGGTTGGGGGCCAGGCTGCACAGGCTGTGCGCGAGTGGGGGGGGGGGGGCAGGCATTTCTGCCGTGGTCGCACTCAGCCACTCGGCTCCCTCACACCAGCTACAGGGAGCGGTGGTGCAGCGGCAAGCACTGCGCTGTGCGTAGAAACCTAGCAGAGGACGCGCATTTGATTCCCGCTCGCAGCCACCGACACGGGTGATGATTATCTGAACCGGTGCTGGGCCCTCCCCGAGGTTGACTCAGCCTTTAAATGAGTGCCTGGTGCAGTGTGTAAACATCCATATTGGGCAGAGGTGGTCGAGTGTGGTCCGAGCCACTCATCCGCTTGTGTGCCGTGCTGGCCTTCATAAGTGCTGTTGACCTGTGTGTGTGTGGTAGGGACGGTGCTGGTGACCTGTGTGATGGGATACAGCCGAGCGGCGGCGCTCGTGGCCGCGTACCTCATGATTTACCATCACCTGCCCCTGCTGGAGGCTCTCACCAGGATCCGGCTCAAGCGACCGGTCTCTCCAAACGAGGGCTTCCTAAGGCACGCGCGCACACACACACACAACATGCCACTAAGTGGTGGTGACGTCACCACGACGCTTGTGCCAGGCTATATGCACGTTAAGGCCACGTGAAGTGTCGAACGCCCACTGGCAGGAGGTCACTGGACAGACCCAGGTGCCATGGACTGACTGAGATGACTGGCTACTGTGCCAACTTGCTTTGTTTTAGCCACCCGACGCTCCGCTCATTGTTGTGAGCATCGCTCCACCTGCTGGAGGGTGACTGCCTCCAACTGCCCAGTAGTGCAGCGTCCTTCACGAGCCTTCTCCACAGAGGCCGATCTTAACACCGCTGGTACCAGTCATTGGCAAGTCCACCAGCTCCACATCCTCTTATACCACATCCCTAGCCCGTGCCGTGCCCGTTTAGCCCCCTCTGTCCGGTCAAACAAAAGCTGTTTAGGCATGCGGTGGCTGGGCATGCGGGCAACAATGACCCAGCAAACGCAGCCTTGCTTGCCAGAGTTCACCAATAAGACTTTATCCAGATCTTTCAAGGATTTGTGAGCTTCTCACACAATCCAGCCTGGTTAAACTCATGATGGATCGTAGGCAGGCCAGCCTAAATTTTATAACCAGGGAAGAAGGCAGGGCATAACCGTGGCTGAGGAGACCCGAAGCTGCGTGTGGAGTGACAGACCAGGTAGCTTCCACACAGCATTACGCAGCCGATAAAAAGATAATGCCGCTCGACTGATTCCGAGTGAGACCTCTGCTGTCAAACCAGAGCTGGTCATGAACACACTGCCCAGGTATGGGGAACTCTCCACTCTCTCCACAACTGCCCCATCACCAATTGGGAGTTGAGAGGGTGGAGTGTTTGATTGCACAAAATACCCAGGCAGGTGCTTAGTTTTGGTGGGGATGATGGTAAGGCCCCACCTCTTAGTGGCATGCTCCAGGTTCAGCAGCAGCGCCTCCAATTCCTCCTCTGAGTGAGCAGCAATCACCGGATCATCAGCATACGTAATATTGTTGACCTAAAGGGAGCCATTCTTTGACCGCATCTGGGCATCAATCAGCCTTCCCTTGTATCTGTGCCAAATGGAAATTCCTCCAGTATAGCCATTGAAGGCTTCACAAACTCCATAGTCGAACATAATGTTAAATAATGTGAGAGCCAGAGGACATCCCGGTCGCACCCCAAGGTGAACAGAGAATTGCTCCGACTCCCGGTCACATAGTTTTACCCAGGCCTGCCCACCATAATGAAGGTCCTTAATGATTGTGAGCAGAGAGTCAGGGACTCCAAAAGCACGAAGAGCAACCCAGAGCCCATGCATGTACACATGCATACGTACACACACACACATACGTACACACACACGTACAGACACACACACGCCCCAGCACACTCACGCACACATACGCGCACACATACGCGCACACATATGTACACACACTACATGCACGCATGCATACACACGTTCAAAGACAAATATACCCCGTATAGCCTTAAAAGGTTGTTGGGACAAGTGCTTTCAGTGAGCACCTATGAAGGCCGGCACAGCACGCGAAGGGAAAGGTGGCCTTCACCACGCCTGACCTTTGTCTCCCCAGTGGCGATGTTTACACACCAGGTACTCATTTTAGGCTGAGTCGATCTAGGGGAGGCCCAGGACTGGTTCAGATTATTATCGCTGATGTTGACCATAAACGGTATTTGAACTTGGGCCGCCTGGTTCGTAGAGCAGTGCACCAACTGCAACAATACCGCTCCCCATGCACACACACACACACATTACAAATGCACACACACACATATTACAAATGCACACACACACATTTGGAGGCTAGCATACACACGTACATGCACACGTGCACGCCCGCCCACAAAAACACCCACACACATTTACATAAACACATGTGTGCACACACAAGCGTGCACGCAAGCGTACGCACACGTGCAAACGTACACACACGCGCGCATGCATACGTACGTGCACGCCTCAACAGCAGACACCGCTTGCCACTGTCAGCAGAGCGCCCATACTGCCGGTGCCAGGCTAGGTACCCTGTGAGCTTCCGGCTCAACCCACGCGTATGATAAATAACATTGGCGCTTAAAAGCGTAACCGTGATTCTCATTTACCATCCGGGACACGATTGCAACGTCGTATGAGGGCCGGAGCGTACGATGCCGTCGGAACCAACGTGGTCTCCCAGAGATGGGAGAGCGAGAAACGGGGGGCGCAACTTAAATGAAGTGAACTGAACGCCACCCTCGCCGCGTCAGAATCCCGAAGCCCGTTAATGGTGCTTTTCCACCCCAGGAGAGCCTTAGCCCGAGTCTCAAGACTCACAAGGGTCCTGCCACGTTGTTGTTGCAGTAGTACGGGACAAAGTTGCTCCTGCTGTTGCTGTATGTGATCCCACATTCATTGATATGCAGGAAATTTTTGTCAGCATTGAAATGTTTTTGGCCAATAACTAGTTCTGCTGCGCGTGTGCGTTTTTAGTTAAGTGAGGAAACCAGAGAAGCCGGAGGACTTGCATACAAACACCACACACAGAAAGGCTCACGAGGCGCGACCGTCGCAACTGCTGTTGCTGCTGCTGTTGCTGCTCCGTGTGGCTATTGCTGATGCTGCTGCTGTGGCTGCTGCTGCCTCGTGTGGTTGCAGGCAGCTGCGGGAGCTGAACGAGAAGCTGCTGAGCGAGCGCGACGTCGAGCCGGCCCCGACGGCGCGCGAAGGTCGCCGCCGCAACGACAACGCCACCACCAGGAACGGGGATGGGGGCAGCAGCAGCAGCCGTAGCAGCAGCGGCGGCAGCAGCGGCGGCAGCAGCGTGGTGAATGTGCGCGAGCGGGCGACACGCCGCCTGCTGGAGGAGAAAGTGGACGTGCGGCGGCAGTGGACATCCCGCGAGGACGACGCGAGCAGCGTGGCGAGCAGCGTGGCGAGCTGCACAGAGGAGCGGCGGCGCTCCTGGGCGGGGTCGCTACACGCCCGCATGGAGGTGTGCGACACCGACAGCGATGGCGCAAGTACCGTTCTCCTGCGCTCCTCCTCGCTGCTCAGCGGCAGCAGCAGCAGGCGGAGGAGGCTATGGTCCGAGTCAACGCGGGACGACGAGCCGGAGCCAGCCGGTAGCGTCGTGAGCCGTGCCAGCAGCCGGTTCTCCGGCTCCCGGGCGTTCGAGAGCGAGCATATCGAGGTGTCCGGCCAAGTGCGGAAATCTCCTCTCACTGCGCCGTCCGATGGAGACGGCCATGCCAGTGGCCGGGAGAGTGAGCACGCGGGAGACGACGGCACCGACGGCCGACGCCCGCGGCCTGCGGACTCGGACGACGAGGTGGACCAGATTATTCAGGAGTGGAGGCGCCGCAACGAGACGCTGGGCCAGGGGGAGAGTCGCTCCCGGGCCGGGCTGTCCGGAGAGGATGAGGAGAGCAGACGGGGAGGCGGGGAGCGGGGCGGGCGGACACCGGCTCGTAGCGCGGGCAGGAGAGACTCCCTTGTGTCGGAGGGCAGCGGCGGCAGTAGCTGGACGGGGGCGAGCACGGATGTGTCGCTGGACCTGATGGAGGGCGGTGTGCCCAGATGGCGCGCGGACGACGACGAAGACACCGAGTCCAACTTCAGCTTCTATGGCGGCCGCGAGGAGGTGTTGGGCGGCCTCACACCCGTGCAGCGCTGGCGCCTCAAGAAGCGCGAGCTGGACGACCGGAACCGGGCCTTTGACAAGGCCTTCCCGCCCCGGCAAGTACCCCGGCGCGCAGGCAGGGACGGTGCCGACGCGGAGCAGCCGCCGGCGCCGCCAGACCCGCCGCCGCCGGACCCGGGCCTGCCGGACCTCGCGGCCTACCAGCGCTGGAAGCTGGGCCGCCAGCGGAAGCTGCGCACGGACATGTCGGACGACATCGTTGCGCTCACGTGCGAGCCTCCCGCGGCGGCGGCTAAGGTGCTCAAAAAGCCCGGCGCTGCCGAGCGGCTGCAGGAGGCGCTGGAGCGCAGCCGCGGGATCCTCGCTGGCATAGAGAGAGAAGATGCAGACAAGGAGGAGGCCGCGCGGCTGCCGCCACAGCAACAGCAGCAGCAGCCGCAGCAGCAGCCACAGCAGTACCCGGCGTACGCGGACAACGATGATACATCATCGGTGTTTAGCACGCAGAGTTCTGTCCGCAGCGCAGCGACCGCGACGAGCCGGTGCTCGTACCTGAGCCGTGACAGCTATGGCAGCGGAGGTCACACCGGGAGCGAGACAGCGTCCCTCGGTGGACAACAGGCGTGGAGCTCGCGGTCGGAGAGCAACGCCTCCCGGTTCCCGTGTGGAGGAGGAGGAGGTGGCACAAGCAAGCCGCTGTTCACCCTCTTCCAGGACGAGGTGGACCTGGGCCGCCTGGAGCGCAGTGAGCGGCGCATGCGGAGCGAGGTGCTGGGCATGATGAGCGGCTACGCCGAGGAGCGCATCGCCGCCTGCAACAAGCGCAGCACCATCTTCAAGAAGAAGCATGGCACCGGCAGGAAGGAAGAGGGGTCGGGGGATGATGCGCGCCAGCGGGAGGGGGGCGAAGAGGAGGAGGGAGGAGAGGGCGACGGAGAGACGACAGCTAGCCTCCTCGAGTCAGTGCAGAGGCTGACGCGCAGGGCCCAGCGGCTCAAGAAGTCGTTCAGGCAAACGGGCGAGGCGGGCGGGGAGGGGAGCGAGGAGTGCAGCGAGGCGCTCCCTGGGAGTTGGCGGGGACGGCCTAGGATGGTGGTGGCGGCGACGGCGTCGTGAGGGAGGAGCGCGAGCTGACGAGCGTCGTCTCCCAGGTGGAGGCCGAGGAGGTGGAGGTGTCCAGATCCCGGCGCCCGCACGGCGGTGGCGGCAGTGCCGGTGAGTACTGAGCGCAGCCGGGGCCTTGAAATTCCGATGCTCTCCTGGGCAACCGCAAGCGTGGCAATTACACGAGAACAAATGACGAAGAGTGGCGCAGAGCGGCAGGTCTGGGGTCTGGTCCCTGGAAAGAGTCTTTGTTGTAAAGTGCTGTTCATGAGCAAACAACACTCAACAGTGCGCTGTGTAAACGTGCGCATGTATATGTAATAATAGTAGGTGATGTTTCGGGCAGTGGCCATCCCTTCATAGCAGAGCAATCGATCTGTGAGCCCTAGCAACCATCACCAAGTGCTTTCTGCTGATTCTGTTCCTATTGAATATAGAACAGAACTCAGGCAACCATCACATGCATTGTGCTGATTCTGTTAAAACTTTGAATGAGCAAGAATATAATTTCCCGAAACGTCGTGTATTGTATACTTTAGCGACAATGTTTACACACCGCACCAGTTACTCATTTGTGACTTAGCTGGCCTAGGAGAGACCCGGAACCAGTTAAGATAATCGTCACTGGAGTTGGCCGTGAGTGGGAATCGAAATCTGGTCGCCGGGTCCGTAGTGCTGCATGCTAACTCCTGCGTCATCACTCCCCACTCACACAACAACCACAATAACAGCTGCCATTAGCCACTAAGTGGCGGTGACATTTCCACGGTGCTTGTGCGAGGCTAAGGTGCACTTTGAGGCCGCGTGAAGTGTCGAGGGCAGGCACACATTCTGCAGAACAGGGGGAGAATGTACAAACTCCATGCAGAAAGATACCTAAACTAAACGATAAACAATAAAAAAATATTTTTAGTTGTTTTAACAGTAAGGTCCACTGAGCCATGAAGCTCCTTTTCAGAAGCGACCTGGCCACAAATGATAGCTCAAAGAGGTGGCTTATCATGTGGAAATTTACAACAGCCAAATACTAACGCGTATTTCTGAATGTGGAGGGAAAAACCCAGAGAAAAATCCACACGACCACGGGAAGATCGAGAGACACACAAACTCCAAATATGCAGCAAGCATCAGAGTTGGGATCGAACCCACCACCTCCTTCATACCAAGTGAGAAAGTTAACATCTGGCCACTGCGGCACCCGAGTTGGGAATCAAACTCAGGGCGCGCGATGAGAATGCCCCTCGGTGTTTTACCACGGCAGCTGTTACATGGGGCGGCGCTTGTTATCATTTGACCAAGGGGGGGTTGGGGGGAAACCTTCCACTAGAGCCACTATGGAGAATTCCTGGCTAGACGTGGGGGGGAGAGAGAGCATCGATTATCGCCAAGCATTGATCCGGGCAAGGAGGGAGGAAGGTGGCGCCGACTCGCCACCTGACGATGTCCTCGCTTCCCCCTGCAGTTGACGCAGAGGAGGAGGCGGCGGAGGCGGCGTCCCCGAACGGAGCAGAGTTTGACGAGGCGGACGAGGAGGTGATCCGCGTGTGGAGGCGGCGCCGCGATGCCATGCGCCGGGAGGCAACGTCGCGAAGCATCTTCCACAGCTCGCGGCCTGCGCCATGATGGCCGCTACATGACGGCCACGACGTGACGGCCGCGGAGGCGACGAGAAGGCACGATGAGACGATATGACATGACGATACGACGCGAGATGAGACGGGTATGAGATGATTGTCATCTTGTCGTGCTATCACGTGATGGCACGACGAGACGACACGAGATGACACGAGATGATATGACGAGAAGGCACAAGCAAGCTGTGGCACTCCCACGGCTCGCAACCCCCTCCTGCGTGCGGCAAGGGCCTGGCGGGGTTCATCCTGGTGGTGGCGGTGGCAGCGGCGGCACCGTGCGGGGAGCGTCACCCACTAGGGATATGAGTACTCGAGTGAGCTCCACTTCTGCGGCGCTCATCCTTCACTCGTCACCGTAACGCGCGTTTCACGTGTACGCGCACACGTGAAACGCCAGCCCGCTAAGTGACACACGTGCGTGTGATACAAGTGATGCACACTTGACTTCTACGTGACACACGTGACACAGACGTGACATCCACGTGACACGCGTGACACAGACGTGACCTCCGCGTGACACAGACGTGACCTCCGCGTGACACAGACGTGACCTCCACGTGACAAAAGTGACACAGACGTGACATCCACGTGGCAAGCGTGACTTCCATGTGATCTCCACATGACCTCCCTGTGATGCATGTGATCTCTGATAGACATGTGACACGTGGCCTCCACATGACACACACATCACCTACACATCGACATAACGCACACACACGTGACCTTCATGAGGGCGCTATAATTGATTCAGCAGTTTCTCTCCCGTCGCGTGGATGGGTTTAGCAATCATCGGGCAAGTGCAGCATGTAATGCCGTTTTTCTCATTTAAACCGAGAGGCTTTTAGGTCCACGTGGACCCAAGCGGCGTGGGGGTGAAGGATAGGGGGGGGCAGGGACCGGAGTTTTGGAGGCTCCAGCCTCATGCGTGTGTTTTTATTATTATTGTAAGGATGTTAGACATCCTTAGATAGCGTCTTCGTAGGACATAGGGGTGCCATGGATATGATGAACACCATAACCATCACGTGGGGTGGGGGGTGGGGCGCTACTCTATAAAGATAGCTATGATGATGTGGCTTGCGAGATGCTGATTAGTTGGAAGGTTTAAAAGGGAGGGAGGTGGGATCCCGTTGAGGGACTGTGAGGAAGGGGAGCAGAGGGGATTGGAGAGGTGGGAGGATAAAATGGAGGAAGTGGGGGGAGAGGTAAAGCAAGGGAGTGGTGTTGGCCGGTGGTGGGCACTGGACGTTGTTGTTGAGGGCAATAAACTGAATCCAAGAAGTGCGGCTTTCGGAGTCCTTGATGACGACGCTTGTTTCCACAGAGGAGAGAACCTCACCGAGTCTGAAGACTCATTTATCAGGAGGGGTCCTGCCAAGTGTTTTTGCAGTCGGGGGGGGGGGCGATATTGCCACTGCTGCTGCTGTGATTCCACATTGAGTAATTTGCAGATTAGTTTAAAATATATATTTTCCGGCGTGGGGGATGTTTGGTAAATATACCAAGTTACACCGCGCATGTGGGTGATTTCGGGGCCGTCCATAAATGACGTCACGCAACTAGGGGGGGGGGGTCAGACATTTGTGACGTTGTGTGACGGGGGGGGAGGTGAGAAATGTCACGTCACATCAAAAAGTGCAACTTTAAATAAATATAGACAACACGTTCTACTTAATTAAATAGACTTTTTAATAAATGTTTTCTCCTACAATACCAGTGCAGCGCCACATTAAATACGCACGACAATGGCATGTTTTTTTTTTTGGGGGGGGGGGGCGGGGCAGAGCTTTGTGACGTCATATTTGAAGGGGGTCTGACTTTTTGTGACGTCGTATGATGAAGGGGGGGGGGGGGGTCAAAAATCGTCCAAAATCGTCCAAAATCGCGTGACGTAATTTATGGATGGCCCCTTAGCCATGGGAGGAAACCGAAGAACTCGGGATGAAACATACAAACTCCACTCACACACGTGCTCAACAACAACAGCCGCCATTCACCACTCGAGTGGTGGCCACGCGTTAACCCGACATGCTTGTGCCAGGCTAGGTGCACTTCTGAGGCCACGTGAAATGTCGAAGCCTTTTGTGGGGGCCGTTGGCCCCCGGGGTCTCTACCGCCTGCATCCCCTGTTCCCGGTTGCGTTGCCGCACCGCCCTAATACCCACTAGGGTTTCGCCAGTATTCGAACGCGACGCCCCTACTCATACAGCCTCGCGCAGCGCTCCCACGCTGCGAGCGTACGTACGCACCGCATCGTCATTCAAACACCATACTCCCCCTCACGCAGCTTCGCGCAGCACTCACTCGCTGGGAGTATTCGTATGCCCGCCTACAGCCCTGTGCAGTACTCGCCTCCACGCCGAATAACCACGTTACCAATACGCACCTGTATCAGATACGTAGTGAACGTACGTGCACACACGCAGCTCCGCTCGCACTCACTCACTACGAGGATACTTATACACAGTGCAGCGCACTCCAAACGCAGCCCCTTCCCTCGGGCCGCTCTGCGCAGCGCTCCCACGTGGCGAGCCACTGTATACACAGCACCACACGGCACTCACTCAACACTGACTACTCGCGTTATGATCGCGCACCTGTATCATACACGTAGTGAACGTACGCACACACACGCAGCTCCGTGCACTCCAAACGCGACAGCCTCTCTTGCGCCGCTCTGCACAGCGCTCCCACGAGGCGAGCCGCTGTATACACAGCACCACACGCGTTCACACTTCTCAGCGAGATCATACGAGGCCACGATCAGCTATTAATGATTTATTCTCGGCTACCTGGGACTTGTTGTTAAGTCAGTATGAATCGACGAGGCTGGCCTACGCTGATACCTCTATGCCTATTCCCGATTTATCTGCTTACGATACTATTTCACCTTGTTACTCACGGTTCGAAGTACAGTATTCGGCGTCCTGTGGCTTTTCCTCGATGCTCGTCTGGACACGACGCGCGGACGTCCGGAGGGCAGAGCTGGGAGCCGTCTTGAACGCGGGCCTCTTGGAGTGAGATCTCTCTCTACCTTGCTACGATCGATTTAATCCTATCTCCCCGACCCAGGCCCCGCCTCCCCAGCCCTTACTCGCCCCTCCGGCGCTCATGCGCGGCGCATATTCTAATTCATCCCATTCTTATGCATGCCTTTGTTATGTCAATTATGCAGCGGCACCTATCACAAAAGCTTGCCGTGGGAATTTATGCACGGACCGCTGCATACCGCTGATTATTCGTAATTTCAGCTTTATCATTTAACTTCCCTAATTTCCCTAATAATGGTGCCTGCGCGCTCGAGCCCATTTTGTCATGCTAAAGTATGCCGTCCCGTCCCTCCTCTGCCTGTCTCGTCGATACGTGGGGGCGTGTGTGGGGGATGCGTTCAACCGTGGTGGCCGAATGCCCCTCGCCGCGACCATGCAATCGTAATGCCGGTCATAGCGCCGCAGTGCGAAGTAGCATCGGGGAGGTCGTCCAATTCCCTGGTCGCCGGAAACCGTGAAGGTTAACCCCGATAAGGGCTTCTCGGATTAAAACCGGTCGGCCAGGTGACTTCCCCTCGGAGCTCTATGGGGGGGGGAAATGCGTGCGGGTGTGTTTATGTGAGGTGAGGGGGACGCGGGGGTCGGCTCCGTCACTTGGTGGTGGCGAGGTCGGGGTGGGGCGCCCGCTGAACGGCTTCGTGGCGGCGGCATCACACTTTCACTGGCAGGTCACGTGACAGACCCAGGTGCTATTGGTTGACCGACTGAGATCACCGACAGATGCACCAACTGTGCTTCCCACTGTGTCGACTTTCTGCATTTATCTGCCCGGCGCTCCGCTCGTTGTGAACGTCGCTCCTCCACACTACCTTTGCTGTTGGAGGGCGACTACCTCCAACTGCCCGGTAACGTCCTTCACGAGCCTTCTCCGCAGAGGCCAGTCTTGACACCGCTGGTACCGGTCTTTGACAAGTCTATTCAGCTCCTGATCCTCCTGTACCGCATCACACAATCCAATGCCGTAATTATAATATAAATAAATAAAATATGCTCAAAATGACCCCCCAATATATTGCTATAAAATAGATTTATGTAATACAATACACTATTAGACATTGTAAAAAATAAATAAAAAGTCCATCCTATGTGTTAGTGAATTTTTTTTATATTTTAGGCAGGAAATTCGTTTTCAAATTTAGATTGTTATGTCTGGGGGGACCCCCAGACTCGCTGGAAGATTTGGTCCCCCCCAATGTTGACTCCATGGCTACGGCCTTGACACAATCTCTTCTCTAGGCCGTTCTTCGCCCGTTTAGCCCTCTCTATGCTCTCCAACACAAAGATCCCCGTATCGCCTAACAGATTGTAGGCAAGTGCTTTGTGAGCACCTCTGCAGGTTGATATTAACACACGAGGGGGTGTGAGGCTGGCACAGCGCCTGGCCGCTTTTGTCTCCCCATTGCTGATGTTTACACACCACACTATACATGTGAGGCCGACTCGACCTAGAGGAAGTTCATGCAGGACCAGTTCAGATATTCGCCACTGGTGTTGGCCGTGAGCGGGAGTAAAACGCGGGTCACCGGCATGGCAACGTGATGCTCTGAACAACTGCACTACCGCTCTTACACTCGCACACACTGCGGAACAGGAGGGGGGTAGGTTTCCAAACTTCACACGGGAAGGACCCCGAGTCGAAGAGAATCGAGCCCAGCACCCTGCCACCGAGAAGCTACCGAGAAGCTGTGTGAGCCAGCCGCCTTGCTCGCATCTCTCCACGTGCATGAAGGAAGCCTCACGTCGGGAGTGAGTGCGCCCGTGAGCATTCACTAACAGTGTCTCACAGCAGTGGGCAGGGGGGATTTTAAATAAAGCCCTGGCTGACGAGGGCCGCTGCTTGTCGTGTCCGTTTATCCGCGAAGCTCATGGGGCCACAACCCCTGAGCCGCATCGCAGCAGCAGCAGCGGCCACTCGACGACGACGATGCACGAATGGGAAATTAACACGTTCAGGGCTGTGTGCAGAGACTGCTGTCACCCGGCAGAACAGAGCCACGGGACATGCAACATCGACTCAGTGCCCCATTCACGATCACGGAGGAGGAGGCGACATCGCAGCGATGGTCGCCAGCTGCTGACGCAATTGTCTGGCTCATCAACCACCTCTGAACGTCAGGGGTACGAAGAATGCGACTGTAGGTGCACATCCAGAACCATACACTCGTACAGGGCCTCATAGACTCGCAAAGATTTCGATGAATGAGGCGTCATCACAGATATGATTCTCCACTCTGCTATTCCTAAAGCAATGTAAGAGGAAGACGAATCTATAGATTCACGTACAGAGCCATACAAATCGCATCGAGACCCATAGCCTCGCACAGATATATCGGAATAAAAATGACACTGGAGGAATCCGATGAGCTGTAGATCTCTTTTTCACAGATGTCCAGTAGGGGCGGATCAAAGGGTGACAACAAACACTACACAAACACGACTGAGTGCAAAGTATAGGAAAATGTAAGTAAATCACAAAAGACTGTTTTTATTTTACCAGGTAAAGCCCACGGAGCTAAGAGCTTTTTCAGAAGCGACCTGGCCACAAGTGATAGCTCAACGAAGTGGCTCATCACGTGGAAATGTATAGGAGCCAAATAACCTAAATGGGCTATACACTCACTATCTACTTGCACAGATCAATAGACTCGCACAGATACCCATAGGCACGCAGAGATCAATAGATTGACATACAGAGCCGTACATTCGCATGGAGTGGCCAGGCAAGATTTATAGATTCACAGAGATTCATAGAAAATTGATACGAAGATACAGGTTCCTTTACCAGACTTGGGTCAAGTGATGTTAGTGAGTAGCACCGATGAAGACGAGCGTGGTACACGAGGGGGTGGGTGGCCAGCACACGACTTTTTGTCTCGCTCGTGCTGATGTTTTACGTTACACACCGCACCAAGTACTAACATTTAAGGCCGAGTCTACCTAGGGGGAGGCCCAGGACCAGTTCGGATATTCGCTGTCACTTATTAGCCACGAGTGGGAATTGAATTCGAGCTGCCGATGTTCGGAAGAG